GCAGGTGTCGACCAATAGGAAACAGTTGGGCGGAGCTAGCTGTCACTGCTAGCTCTGCCCAATTGTTTTTCTTTTTTCTTTTATTATTATTAATTTTTTTCTTTTTAAAAATATCTTTATTTATTTTTTAATTTTACTATTTGTTTAATTTTTTTTTAAATTCAGCCTTTTCCCCCTTACTCTTTTCACTGACTTTCTATTCTGCTCGGTACCACGGAGGTACCGAGCAGAATAGCCACGCCAAATGCCGCTCGGGGGCATTCAGCTATTCACTTACTGCTGTTCAGCCCCTACCAGAATAGGGGCGAATGGCAGCAGGTGAGCTGCCAGAGCTTCGACTCAGCTGATCCAGATGTTGGATCAGCTGAGTCAAAATCCCTCTGCACTTTGGCTCAGCCGAACAAGAATGAAGGCAGCCGTACTGAGCCAGAGTAAACAGCCGAACATTGTTCAGCTCTGTTCACTTTGGCTCGGTTATTCACTCGGCTGCCTTTGGTGGGTTAGTGAATAACCCTGTAGGTATGCCAAGTGGTAACACTATACAAAGAAGACTATGAACTAGCTTCATGCCGTTTAGTATCATGCTAGTTCATTGAAGGTGGGTTGTGGGGCACTTTACAATACCAGCCTGGAATTGGCTAGCATTGAGCTTATCTTCTTATAGATGCTTCAAGAAGAATATGTCTGTAATATTGGGGGATATGTGTAAATTCCTGATTCCTAGTTTGCAACAAGGCAGTTTACTATATATCTTTTTAAACAAATTCAAAGGATTAGTGTACTTTTTGTATTTTCTACACCCCTTCTTCCTGCACTTTCATTATAGATAAAGTTTACCTACGGTACTGCTACAGTACTGTTCTGACAGGGAAGAATTGCAAATAAATAATCAGATTATAGCAAATACTTATTGGTAACTGACCTACATTCTCCAACTATCCCTTGGCTATCATTCCCCCAAAGCAGCATATTTACTCTGGAAATGTTATAAGCAGCAACTTGAATTCTGTAATAGTGGAATGTAGAAAAGTTAATTGCAGTATAAAACTTTTGGTATTTGTTGGAAGTATCGTAGTTAAGGCCTACAGTAATTCTGAGGAGTTTAATGGTGTTTGCTTGTTATCTTGTTATCACTGAGAGAGTACACTGGGAAGAGTAAAGTGTGGGAGGCTTAACTGCCTTTGGTTAAACAAAACTCTTTTAGCAACAATATAGTGGTCATGAAAATAAATGCATATGCTAATGAGTGTTGAAGATGGGGTTTAACCCCTTCGTGGCGGGAGACGTACAGTGTACGTCTTGTCACTTTGTGCCTATATGACTGGCCACGTACACTGTACGTGACGAGTTATATCAATGTGAAGCCAAAAACATTTTTCTATGTTTGAATAACATGGGAAAGGATTAAAACTCCTGTCATGTTTTTGCTATTGGCTTGGTTAAATAAATTTACAGTCACTTCTTGTTCAACTAATCGAAAACAAAATCCGTCAGGGTTTCACTACTCTACTAAAGAAAAATATCTTTATTCTTGTCTGGGTTGTTATTGCAGAGTTCCCCCTTACTTCCAGTCTGGTAAAATGTTGTCAACATAAAAGGAAGTGAAAGTAAATCTCTCTAATGCAGCCCTAAATTGCAATAAAAACCCTGTAGAGGTTCTAATCCTTCTCAACTCTATCCAAATCTAAGAAAACATATTTTGGATGGACATACACTTTAATGTCATCATTTCAAAACCTACTAAAATCATTGTGGTTAAATAACAAAGGACATTATCTGCTTTCTGCCTAAGTGTGTTGTTTCTTAAAAACTTTAAGTAGTTTGAACTTCATGCCCTTTTTAAATGTATATAAAACATAACTGTTTCTGTCCCTTTTTCTTTAGGTTGCAGAACTGCTCCAAATGACTTAGTTTTTATTCTAGATGGCTCATGGAGTGTAGAACCTGAAAATTTTGAAATACTGAAAAAATGGGTTGTTAACATTACAAGTAATTTTGACATTGGGCCCAAATTTACTCAAGTTGGAGTGGTTCAATATAGTGACTATCCAGTTCTTGAAATCCCACTTGGAAGACATGAGGCTATAGAAGATCTTTTCAAAAGAATGCAAGATATTAATTATCTTGGTGGGAACACGCGGACTGGAAATGCGATTCAATTTGCAATAGAAAACCTCTTTGCTCGGTCATTGCGACCATTAACCAAGATTGCCATTGTTCTAACTGATGGGAAATCTCAAGATGATGTAAAAGACATAGCAGAGGAAGCGAGAAAAAATAAAATAACTCTTTTTGCCATTGGAGTAGGCTCTGAAATTGAAGAAAGTGAACTAAGAGCAATAGCGAATAAGCCTTCCTCAACATATGTGTTCTACGTTGAAGACTATATTGCAATAACAAGAATACGAGAGGTCATAAAGCAAAAGCTCTGTGAAGGTAACTTTCTAATTTGTTCTTTATTAAAAAAACGAATGTGTAATTGTGGCAACAACTTCACTAATTATTTAGGTCTTATTATTGTTAATCAGAAATAATTAAAGCGTACACAAAGCCAATTCTTTTTTTTTTATTTTAGTTTTGGCTAAAGTAGGGAATGGTTAGGGCCCCTGTTTGGTTTTTGTCCCTACGGAGGAGATTTACCCTAACTATTGGTCCTGGTGAGCATTGCCTCTGCTGCAGAAAGTGATAGAAAATCCAAAATGTGTATGTTGTTATTTAATCGGACCTTGGTGGAAATCATGCATGGGGTAAACCTGTTCTGGGGACAACTGTTTAAAATTTCCACTTAGTTTGGACAGATCTTCTCTTGTTGGTGTTGTGTTACAGGGAAAGGTTGTAAAGGAAAATCTCCCCCCAATGGGATGAAGAAATAAAAAAAAACCAAGGCATTAACCATTCCCTACTCTATCCTAAAACAATGTTTTGGCTTTACATACACTTTAAACTCTACTAAGACATCAAACAGCACAAAGGGAATATGTAGCATCAAGCGGTTTACACCTTTCTTGTTGCTTTTGTAAATTAGACATTTAAACTTATTTTTAAGGGATCACATTATGTCTACATAATTTCAGAAAAAGATTACAGCACTTTGGTAATTACAATTATGGTATAAATTGTAACTTGCACATTTTAGCCCAAAATAAGAGGTCATAATACATTGCCTAAAGTTTTCATCTTTAAAAGTGTATAAGGTAGTGTAACTTTAACTGTTACCAACTGGAGAAGAGCTGGGGCTTCACTGATTTGAAATCAATAAAAAAGATGAGGGCAGCAAAGGAGTACAACCACATATGCCCCCCCCCCCCAAAAAAAAAAAAACGTTTTGAAGCTGAATTCTGGGTTAAACAAATGTTATCTAAATACAAAAGGCATGTGTATTCTTGCTTGAATTTTGATTTGCTTGTGCATTTCTTCCAGATCTGTTCAGTAATCCAGTGCAAAACTTTGCATCTGTACAGAAGCTTCCTGTGAAAAAGACCAGTCACTATTGCTTACTTGCCATGGGCAGACTGACTGTTCTTCTATCCGCCCCCTCCTATAGTTTTCTGCACGCAGTCTGTAGTGAGTATGGCCCGCTGGGTCCATTCCATAGCCCTGCTCTCTACCCAGGCTATGCACAGCGCAGTGCAGATTTACTGCTACTTTGCAAAGGTGTCTGGTGCACACAAAGTAGATTTATATTCTTTGTGGTTAATGAGGATTATATTTAAATAAACATTTTTGTGTCCAGAGTTCACCTTTAACATATTTTTTTGTCAATAGAAGAAATTATTAGTCACCTAAACCAAAACATTGATTGAAAAAGTTGAATATTTTAATTCAAGTGTAAACCATATAGTCAAAAACATGGTCAATTTGGGATGCAGTTTGCTTATAATTTAAGAATACTAAGATCTGAACATTAAGATCATATGCCAAGTACAGATACAGTATGTGCTACCTATACTTTATCAGTTGATGTGTTTTTTGTATTATTTTTTATATAGCTACTCAGTTTGACATTGCTGTCAGTGGCTTGAAGGGAGTGTAATTTTCAATAAAACAGAACATTTGTGAAAAGTGGTTTTGTTATAAAATGTGTATTAGAAAAGGTCAAGGATAGAGTACTTATGTGATGTCATAGTGATTTGTCTATAGTAATTAATATTATGACTACACTACATAACACAGACCAAATGCTGTAAAAAAAAACATTTTGCAAGGTAATAATGGTTTTTGGAAGTCATTCACTCTAAAAGTTATAAACAACTCATCAAAGTATAATCAGTGAATAAAACCTGTGCTCTCACCTCTGGTACCTAAATATTCCCCCCACTGCGCACCACCATCTTGTGCTTTACACAGCATAGAGAACAGGGCCGCCGTCAGGGGGGTACGGCCGATATTGATGTAAGGTGCCCAGCCGGCCTTAGAGGCCCGAGCACCTTACATGAGTATCGGCCGTACAAGTGACATGCCAGGATGTGGCCGGGCCCCCCGCAGCACCGGAGGAGAACGGGGTCGGCACGCTCCAGACCCTCACCTGGGATGCCTCCTCCAGTGTCCCCAGGGGGTCTCTCCACTGTACATTAGTTTTTAAAGATGCTCACGGCGGCTATCTTTAAACCTGGCAAGAGCCCACATATCATTTAATATATTGCCGAACAGGCAATATATTGAATGAAAATCATTCCCTGGTCGTCAAGTGGGGAATCAGTATGATCTGCATCCCTTGCTGATGCAGATCATACTGATCACTCCCTTGTGGTGCCTTTGCTAACAGGCAGGGATCGATTAGTATGTCTGCATCAGCCAGAGTGCAGATCATACTGATTCTCCAGTGGACCCAGGGACGCAGCCCCCCTTCCTGCAAAACAGGTAAGCAGGAGAGGGGGACGTTTTTTAAATAACTATTTTAATTGTTAATGATTCGCCCAGTCTGAAAAGGTGCCATTTACAGATACTCTCTGTACCCGTTCCCGTAGCCAGTTCTCTATCCACGTACACACCACCTCATCTATGCCCATAGCCCTCAGCTTGTCAAGTAAGCGTTTGTGTGGTACTGTATCAAATGCCTTTGAGAAATCCAGATATACCACATCTACCGGCTTACCTCCGTCCATATCTCTACTTACCCCCTTATAAAAAATTAGCAAGTTAGTTAGGCAGGAACGGTCTTTCCTGAACCCATGCTGAGTGTGTGTGATATGTGTGTGTTTCATTACACGTGTGTTTTTTTTTTAACCACTTCCCATGGGTTCACGTAATTGTGTGTCATCCAATGGAAGTGGTTATACCAAGAACACGGCTGCTCCTGAAGCCATGTTCTTGTACCGTTCCGGCCGGAATCGGGCCGGGACGCACTGCAAGTGGTGTGGACAACCCCTTAGAGCCAGAAGAAGAAGCTGGTGAAGCAGATCTCTGCTTCATCAGCTTCTTTGGGGTCCCTAGGTGACATTAGGGGTATGCAAAACCCCTGATGTCTCCATGAAGAGGACCTGTCACATTATATGTGCTATTACATAAGGGGCTTTTTAGCCCGCTATGTGATAGCAATAAAGCTGAGTGTAAAAAAAAAGGTAAAAATTAAAGTAACATAAAAAATGTAAAATGCAAAAAAATATTTTTTTTAAGTTTCCCCACGTGCACGCACATACAACACAAACACGCGTCGGATGCGCCTACATGCAAAAACAAAAATTACGCCACACATGTTATGTATCGTCGCGAGCGTCGGAGTAAGCAATAATTCTAGGCCCATCAATCACTGATAGCACTATACTGATGAGCCGTAAAAGCATTTAAAGCGTCGCTTATGGAACATTTTGGTTATTGTAGTTTTTGGCGGTTTCATGGATGCTTGACATGTTTAGTATCTATTTGCCCGGCGTGACCCCATCTTTTATATTGCACCAAAAAATTAGCCATTATATTCTGATTCTGTGCACTAAATTTAATTTTAGGGTATTTTATCCTAAAAATACTGGTTTGATAAACATTTGCACAAATACCGTGTGACATAAAAAATAGCAACTAGTATCTTTTTATTCTACAAGGCCTCTGCTTTTAGAAAATATATAATTGTTTGGGGGTCCGAAGCCGTTTTCTACCCAAAAATTCAGCAAGTGGTTAATGAGTGTATAAATATTTGAATGTGTGTGTTTCCCTATTTTGTCTGAGGCAGTGATGATGCTGAACATTTTTTAAACCCGAGCGGCAGAACTGCAACGCAATACTAAAGTTATTTTGGCACTGAGTTGGCACTTTAAGATAAATACATTGATTTTGTGTCGCAGTTTGGGCACTCAAAAACATTTGCCATCACTATACTAGTCTGACAGCGACGCAGACGAGTGGCCAGAGGTAGCAGGGGATCACATCACTTGTGGCCAGTCCAGCGGCAGAGGAGGCCAAGCACCAGCAGCAGGAGCAGGTAAGTGGAGCTGGGAGGGAGATGCAGCTCCAACCAGCCCACCTGGGACCCTTGCAGAGCCCGTCATAGAGAGTCTCAGATGGGCTGTGCAGCATGTATGGTGTACTCTGCAGGGTCACTTTCAGGTGGGCTGTGTGGGGACTCAGGTGGGTCCTGTGTCCAGCGCGTAAGGGTCTCATAGTCCGGCACGCAACTAAGCCCAGAGTCTGGTGCTCAACTAAGCCCAGAGTCCGGCACGCAACTAAGCCCAGAGTCCGGCACGCAACTAAGCCCAGAGTCCGGCGCGCAACTAAGCAATAGAGTAGCTGAACTCAAGTTGTCAATCACTGCTTACATGCCAAAGTGGCAGTAGTGTGGAGGTGGAAAACATCATCGGGCCATGGGTCATCATGACCGACGCTGAATCTACATCATTGGGTGACATGATTTATGGTGGATTTACATGGGGGACATTGGTTACAATTTTTTAAAATAAATTCTTTATTCACAAAATTTTACAAAGATTATCAAAGAGATGAAAACCAGCAAATACACAGATGATGAATTAGACACAGATGTGACAAGCAAGGATAAAATGTTCATAAAATGAAGACAAAACGACTGCAAACAAAGTAGAACACGTTGATGATAAGGTCTGGAATGTCCGTGGCCTAAAGAGAAACACATGCCAGGTTATACTAGGGCACATATGACATGGGTTCATTTGTACTAGTAAAGGTAATAGGTAACTAATGGAAGAAAAAAAAGAGAATACTTTTTTAATTTTGTCATGTTTGCCTTTTTTTGGGGGTAATGAGTAATAAGAGGTACTAATGTGCCCTCTACTGGGGCCCCTTAGTACACAGGGGCCTTACAGATTCCTGTAAGTTCCCACACAAACCACTACATCCAGGTTTGGGAGACAGGATGTAGAAGAGAGGCACTTGTCCCTATAGGGACAAGGTGACATGTAGCCTGATATGGTGCAGGAAAAGGAGGCAACA